CTGCGCTGCATCATCAGGCACTGCTTCTTTTCTCCTCTCCATAACCCAATCATAGGTATTCCCGAACAGATCATCAAATCCCAACTCATCAGGATCGAATGGCTTAGGGAAATGCTCCAGGATCAGATCAAGGTTCCTTTCCAAAAGCAGATCCTTTTCAAGGTTTGAGTATTGAAGATGAGTTGGGAAAAGATAATCACGAGCTCCAAGAGAGTGATAGCAAGGTAGATGATCTCCATGAAAAAGAAGTCCCACTCCACACACAAGATTACTCCTCTTACGTTAGTCCAGGTTTGGATTTCTTTGATTCACTCCTTGAGGATGATATTCCCTTTTGTCTGGAAAGTGACAACATCATCCAAGAAGACATTCATGAGAACAGTATTACCGAGAGTTGGGATACTCACATGGGGAGTGATACAGAGTCCAGAGGAGATGCTGTGAATTTTCAATATATTTGTGAGGAAGAAAAATACTTTTCCATGCTGCAGTTCGAGTTTGATGTTGCTTCAGATCCTTGCTTCGAAATATCTTTTGAGCTTCCACTGATGCATGGAGAAATCAAAGTTTTTACTCATGCCATATGTCCATTCAAGGAGGATGTGAGGTTGATCCTTCAGTTCTGTGCTGATACGGTTTTTGAAGACCATGTGATTCCTTCGTGGTTCCAAGAGTTTAAGGATCTGCGCCACCTAATGGCATTTGTTGAGAGAAAGCTGGAGAGATTAATTATTAGTGCACCACTGCAGTCTTTGTTATTTGAGAGCTTATGAAGCATCGTCGGGCAAACGACGTTAAAAATAGCGCTTCTCGGGAGGCAACCCGAGCTTACTTCTGCATTTGTTGTTGTTTTGTTTGTTTTGTGTGTTTTGTTTTTGCAGCTCAGGGTCTTGCTTTGGGGATGATGTGCCGAGGACCACTTAGACTCAGTTTAGTTCTGCACCGACCAGCGCCCTAGGGAAGTTTCTGTGACTCTTATAATTGCCTTTTTGTAATGTTGACTTGAGTTAAGATTGAGCACGTGTGACCCTTTCCTCTTTACCCCCTTGTGCATAGTGCATATTTGGTCATCGAGGGCGATGCCAAAGTTTAAGTGTGGGGGAGCGAATTGGGCATTCGGGCAGTAGTTTTCACATGTGATTTTTAGAGTTAGCATGCACAGGTGTTAGTTGTATATTCATAGGAAAGTCGTGTCAAATTTTTTGAAATTTTTTCTTTAAACTGTGTCTTTGTGAACTGGCTAGCGTTTTGACTATGCTTTTACAACATCTTTGAAGTGTTTAGGATTAAATTGCTTGCACTATAATCTAGTTGATGAAAGGATGAAGGCATTAGTCACCCATTATATGAATGAACAAATTTCCCATCTGACCTGAATAAGTTCTTTAGGAGAAGCCACTTTGAGCCTGATCGTTTATTGTTTACCCAATTAATTAAGCTCCATAGCCAAATGGTCCGTGTTTCCTTACCTGTGAATTTTTCTGTCATAGTCTTGGTGTTTAGGGAACTAGGGGATGAATTTGCTAAGTTTAGGGAATTTTGTGTAGTAGCCAATTTTGGCACTGTTCCTATGCCCTAAGTGGGGTAAGAGCAGTGACTTTTTAGAAATTTGATATTTTCGAGGATTGCATTGTAGGCATGGATTCACTTTGAATTAATGAACTTTAATTGCTATTTTTTCCTTGGTGAGACCGAGATTAGAATGGGGTAATGTCTAGTGAGAATCCGAAAGGTGAAAATTAATATAGCTAGACCTCTTACCTTGTGAAAAAGAGAATGGGAGCCCCGGTCAAAAAGCGTAAGTGTTCGCACAATAAGATGAGACTTGGGTATCTTTCGAAAGAAATGGTGTTCTCGTGCCAACATGACAAGGAAAACTGAACTTATTTAATGAACTTGGAGGCTTTAGAAAAATTAGTTTTAGTCCTCCGCGTACTTCAAGTATACGTCAAAGCACCAATGTGCTGAGACGGTTTAACTTAGTTGTACACCATGTCTACTCTTTGCAAAGGTTTAGATGATTCTTCCTAAAATTGTGTCCTTCTGAGTTCCTTGATCCTAAGAGTAGCCCTGAAGTTCCTGAATGCATTGAGTCTTTGTTATAATATTCCAATCTCTCAAAAGGAAGGGTCTGCTTATCACCATTCACCATTACCTTCACAAGTCCTTCTGATCAATAGCTAGTTTATTTGTGTATGTTGTCATTACTTTAAGGATGTTGTGAATAACTTTGTCAAATATTTTAGCTAGAGTACAAAGATGTATTTAGGGAAGAATTTTCTTGGTTTAGTTTGTCTGTTCTGTGAATACCCCTTTAACTACATGTGCATGCTAATTGTTTTGATTCCGTGTGGTGATTATCGTAAGCCCCATTGTTCAGTTTGCTTGAGGACAAGCAAAAGCTTAACTGTGGGGGAATCTGATAAGTCCGTATTTAGACATGCATTTGATGCGTGTTGGGATCAGGTTTGATGGTTTTCCCTAGCTTTAATGTGTTACAAGTCTCAATTTTAGCTCAAGTTATGTTTACCGGGCGTTGGTTCGAGTTTTGTGTCATTTGGAGTCAAAATCAGGATTTTAGAGTTCGGCACTGGCACTTGAGGAGAAATCGTGATGAGTTGAAAAGAATTTGAGATTTATTTGAGAGCTATGGAGGTCAGCGGGAGGTTTACGATGAAGATTTGATGACAAAAGAGCTCTAGGATTGGCTTCGGGATAAAAAGAAGATGAATGAAGCTTGAAAACGACGACCAGGATGACCTTCTGTCAATCATTCAAGAATATATATTTGTAGAAACAACTAATGGACATGATTCAAGTTGTATATGAAATACAACTTCAAGGGCTACAAATCATATGAAGACACCATTACTAGAATAGGAGAGCAAGAAGGTGAAAACAGACGACGAAGTCAGATGATCTCTGCTGCGATTTCAGAATGACACCTTCCATCGGTTTGATCATATCTCTTGATTGGATGATTCAAATCACATTCGGCAAGTTGGGGTGGATAGAGGACTTCATTATCTAAAACTTTCATGAAGGAAGTTTTGTCAAATTTGGACTAGAGAAAAGGCTGAAGAACACGGACGCACGACCGTGCGTCTGGGACGCACGATCGTGCGTAAGAGCCAAAATCGTGGAGGAGCTACTGCCTGCTACGCACGATCATGCGTAGCCCCAAGTTATGCGCGGAAATTTCCCACATCGGCCAGAATTGTGATTTCCCCCTCTTTTCTATAAATAAGGCCTCCCTAACCCTTTTTAGAGGTTACGAACATTACGGAGAGGCATAAGGACGAATTTAACACCGTTTTTACGCTATTTTCTTCCAAGACCGTAGGATTATTTGTAAGTTCATCTTTTTAATTAATGACAATTTATTCTATTCTTCCCAATTCTGTTGATTCTTCAATTATGAATTGTGAGTAGTTTAATTAGGGATTTGGGATTGATGAAGGGGTTAATCATGATTGATGACTAGATTCTTTTCGATTTAATTGCATGAATGCCGTTTAATTTATGTTTGAATAGTTTAACTGATATCTTTTGTAACCTGGAACCGCGGCTAGAATTACAATTGCACATAGAATAAATTAAGAGAGATCTAGTTTATTCTATGACACATTCACACACACTTAATCGTTGGCTAAGAGATTAGTAGCGATTAACGGGCCGTAAGCTTGCTCGTTTTGGCAATAATTTGGAATCTTGTCGCATGAGAGATCTGTCTGGTCCCCTAAATTATTGTACTCTACGCCGCGAGAGCGGTAAGAACTTAGTATTGATTAGCTAGGCTCAATTAAATTAATTTCATGTAATTGGGCCTGATCTGCCAAAAATCTGATTACCCCGGAATCAATCTCTGCTCCCTTCGTCGTTAATTAGAGAGAACCCAATCTTTTATTTTAATCATTCATTTGCATTAGTTTAATTTTAATTCAACCAACCAATCTCGCACAACGCATTTATTTTATTTTATTCCTTTTTAATCGCTGAATTTAATTAATCCTTGATTCCCTTTTGTCCGTCCCTGTGGAGACGATACTCGTACTTTCACCACTATTCTACAATTTTTTAAAGTGCGAGAAAACTAACATCAAACATTCACAAAAAGCCCGGCGAGATTAATAGCTTCAACATAAAATTGGTTTGCGGTAGGTGTATAAACATGACTAAAAGTTTGAGTTGCATTATTAAAAAACACCAAAACGTTCACAATTTTTTCCATAGTGTCGATGTCGACCGGGTTTATAATATAGTAAGCATATTCTTTTAAAAAAGCAGGAAAATGGTCTTTAAATCTAATAAGTATAGCAATTAAGTTATAAGTACTATTCCAACGAATAGATAAATCTTTAGAGAAAACACAATATTTGACACGTCTATCTCTGAAATATTGACGCAATTTCATTTTAATGGGTTACTAGCCCAAATATGTCTAATCCTCCCTTCACTACCTCCATAGCATCTCCCAACGCGGCTAGCTCGTCTTTTACACGTAAATTTAAAATATGACATGCACAACGCTGATGAAAAAACCTACCCGTCAAAGTAGAAGAACCACACAATTCACACAATCTAGGTATATCAGTAGTATTATTACTAGCATTATCAAAACCCATAAAAAACACCTTATCAATCAGATTGTACTCAATTAAAATACGTTCAAGCAGAATATAAATATTATCAGCAGTGTGTCGATCATCAAATTTCCCAATCATCATCAATATAATATGCAGTCACACCCAAATAATATAAATGATGATGAGTATCCTCCCATATATCACTACAAATACTAACACATCCATCAAAATTTACGAAAAATATTTGTAATTTTTCCTTTTCCAAAACATATTGCCTTATAACTTCTTTTTTAATCGTTTTGCGACTATAGTTTCGAAATTGAGGATTTAGAGTACCAACAACATATTCTTTTAAAGCAAGACTTTCAGAAAAAATAAAAGGTAAACTTTCTTCAATAATTAAATGAGACATACCAGTCAAATGTCTTTGATCATTGTAGGAGAAATTATCAAAGGGTTGCCCAGTTCTAAACCTTGTTATTTGAGTTTGCTTCCCCTTGCTTTGGTCTATTTTCACTTACACCACGGGGTGTTTTGACTGAAGATGCCTTTTCAAACTGCTGTATCCTTCGGAAATTCCCAAGCTATAAATTTTGGGGCAATGTTGGCATTGTGTGTACCATTTTTCGTTTTTCTTGTCTTTCACCTTTTTAAAATTGCCGTCAATAGTTGGTGATACATCTTTCTTACCAGGTTGGGACGAACCATCCTCGTCCTCATCCTCGGCCTAATAGAAAAATGAGAAATGTACCAATTAAGTAATAGGAAAATGAGAAATATACCAAATAACTAATTAACTAATATTAATTTAAAATGTAGGTTAAATCCTCAACCTCTTCCTCATCGTCCGGTGTGTCGTGACCCTCGCCCTCAGCTGTCGGGGGATCCTCCTCCGCATCGTCATCCTCGAGCTCATCTTCAATCTCGGGAACGTCATGTTGTTGGAAAACACCTCGGGACAATAGTTGTCGTAGTTGCTCGTCGGACATTGCATCCACATCTCTTTGGTGGTAGTCTGTTTCAAAATCATCTCGGGTTTGAGAAGAAGACCCGGCGTGTCCTTTACTTTTACCTTTCTGTGAACTAGGATGATTCCTCGCAATCTCCTTGGTTCGGTTCCAGCCGAGGTTACCCATATCTACAAAAGCTCTACCATGTTGCATCTTAAAAATGTAACAAATATTAAGTTCTAACAAATATGTTAATATTAGTACAATAGTAATGTAACTAATAAGAAATGTTGTAAATTTTATTTTTTTATTTAAACCTATTTTATTAAATACTATTTTCTAAATCCAACTAGTTTTTTTAAATAAAATTCAAACTATTTTTTAAATCTAACTAGTATAATTTCAAAATTCAAACTATTTTATTTAAATTAAATTCAACTACTTTTTTTAAATGAATAAATTCGAAGTAAAAAAATTAACTAGTTAACTAATTGTTGTCTAACAAGTGTGACTTTAATTAATTGGAAAAAGAGAAATGTAACAACTAACAATTAAGTACTTTTATACTTTAATGACAAATATAGCAATGAACTTATAGGAAAATGACAAATGTACCAATTAATTAATGAACTAATATTAATAAAAAATGTATGAATGTGTAAACTAAATTAATGAGAGTGTGAGTGTATAAGTAATAGGATGAATTTAATTACTATTAATTAAAGTGTAAGTAATATATAATATTATAAGTATACTACTATAAGATGAGTAGTACACTTATATTTAATACTTTAATATATATATATATATATATATATATATATATATATGTGTGTGTGTGTGTGTGTGTGTGTGTGTGTGTGTGTGTACTTAGTATATGTATTTATTACAAGTACATTATAAGTATATAAGTAGATATAATAATTGTATAAATATATGTAGAGAGAATTGAAGAAGATGAAGATGAAGATAATTAAGAATATTAGAGTAGAGAGTAGGAAGAGTTGGGGAAGATGTGTAGAAAATTGTTTAGAAATGGGAGTATTTATATATAGTTTTTTTAACCCCCCGGACCCCCTCCCAGCCCTCCAACGGCTATAGAGGCGTTTGGAGGTGTTCCCCAACGGCTATGAAATACAAGCTAAGTGTTGATGCGTTGTTTGGTAAGGACGCGGCAGGAGGTGGGGTAGTGCGAACGAAATCAGGTGAAATGGTTGTTGCTCTCCACTTCCCCATATCTGCTAATTCTGTTTTACAAGCTGAGACGACAGCTTTAAGCGATGCGGTTTCATGGGCGATGGAGCATGGATTTGAGGAATCGGAGGTGGAATCGGATTCCAGAGGAGCGATTGAGGTTGTGAGAGATGAAGGGTTTTGGTCTACAGGAACAGCTACGAATAGATTAGGTAGATGGATGGTCGAGGAGAAGATTCTTTTCCGACATGTGATGCGAGAAGCAAATTGGCCAGCTCATTTCATGGCTAAATTGAAAGTGGATGATTTTACTGTAATTTCCAATTTTATGGACTTGCCAAGTTATATTCGGAGATCATTAATTGCGGATAAGCTTCAGCTTAGTTCTTTTAGATTTGGTTAATGTTGTAATTTATTGGGTCACGTCTAGCCCCCCAATAAATAATCTTTTACTGTTTTTTTTTCATGTATTTGGAAGAGGTATGCCTGTTCAGGAGAGGTTTTGATCTAGTCCCCCTCTCTTTTTGTATCGTTTTTTTTTATCTAATAAAATCTGGTAAATGTTCCCTGGCATTTGCCCAACTGATTTTGGTGGTTTGCCTTCCGGTATAAAAAAAATATGGCTGTTGAGGTCCGGACTAGGCCCAAACCGACCAGGCTGGTTCGTGATTTGGAAGGCCCGGGAACCGAACCATAACATTACTTAGGGGTGGGCAAAAGACCCGGTCTCGTTGGTCCGTTCCAGAACGTTCCGGTTCCGTTCCGAAATTGTCCCGTTAAATTCGGGACAAACTATTTTTGTCCCGTTCCGGTCCCGAACCGTTTCAAAACAAAACGGAACCGGGACAAATAAAACATGTCCCGTTCCATCCCGTTGTCCCGAATTCAAAATTGTACGGAGTATATAGTTGTGGGTTAGTGAGTCTACCATCAATTCAAATACTAATGAATATTAATATTAATTAGGTATTAGTTATCTAATACGTAAAACACGTAAAGGAGTCTAAATTATATCAAGTATGAACTATCTTCTACATACTAAAAAGAAACTCACCTATACTTCACATGTTTCACTTCTAATAATATTGTTTGTCTTTTTGTTTATTTTTGAAGTTTCTTAGTAGTATTGTGTGTGTTGGAGTTAATTGTTGTTGTTACGGTTTGTTTCATGCTACTATCCTATTAATTTACTATTTTTTGTGTTGCATTTATCGTAAATTTTTGTATGTGTTGCATTTTTAGTGTTGTAGTTTTTGTCATGAAGTTTCTTTTTGGAGCTGTATTTTTTTCGCTGCAATTTTTTTGGGATGTCTCGAACCGCCCCGTTCTGTTCCGGTACCGGTTTAAAAGGGACAGCACCGGGACAACATCTTGTCCCGTCCCGTTCTGTCCCGTTATTCTAAACTGGGTTCGGGACCAATATAGTCTAATTCTCGTCCCGTTCCGTCCCATGCCCACCCCTAACACTACCGGGCCGGGTGGCCTGAACCGGGCACAAACCTGGGTACCAGACCGGGCCGGTTCGTAACAGTACCGGGACGGGCCGGTGTTGGGCCGGTTAACCCGGCCCGAGTCCATCGCTAAGTCCACCTAGTTATGTCATTGGGCAGGTCCAAGTCCGGGTCTTGCACTGCCCGCCCCGCCCCGATCCATTGATATGCCTATTTGGAACCAAGAACTAGCAAACCGAACCGTTATGACCCGATTCGGTTTGATAGTATATGGAGTTATATCTTTATGTGTGCGAGTTATATCCTTTTTATGCGTGAGTTCCATCTTTTTATGCGTGAGTTACATTTTAACTTGTCTCAACAAGTTACATTTAACCTATGCCTAAATTTGATTTTCCATAAAACGAGTTACATCACAAAATAAACTCATGATATTGAAAAAAATGCAAAAAAATGACTTTTTTGGCAAAAAATGAGTTTCTTAATTTGTTTATGGCCTTAATATTAAAAAATAAACATATTCAATATTTAGCTAAATTAATTGAGCAATTAAAACTTCTTGTTTTCATTGTTTACATTAAAATCAATATTTATTTTTTATGCTCTAGATTAGACAAGTCATACTTCGACTTGCTTGCAATTACATTTCTTTACACGATAGTTACATCATCTACTACTGGGACAAGAAAAAAAATTACTGTCCACAGGTGTTTTGGCTTTGGGAGCACCATGCTCACCGTGAGTTGCTCCCACAGTAAAACAACTACGCCTTAGCGCCTTTTAAAGCATGATAGTAACTATTGGTTATATTTTTATAAATAAATTTTATTTCAGTAATATTTTTAAAAACTTCTAAATTTTAATAGATTTTGGCACTCTCACGAAATTGTATTTCACTAATATTTTTAAAAACTTCTAAATTGTATTTGGTGGGAATTGAGACTCCCACCAAATTGAGTCTAAGCCTCTAACTTGCCAAAATTGGATCTTGTGGATGTAATAGTCACACATCCTACCCGACTGCCAAAGCATGATAGAAAATCTAGATCCGTGTTAAGCTTGAATACACTCACACAAATTAAAGGAGTTTTATGACTAAAAATAACCATGATCACTATAACTATCGAGATTATTAAAAGCAGTGATGATTTGTACACTATTTACAGTATCTATTTGACTAATATTGGCAAAAAATTCTGAATAAAAGAGGTTAATTTTAAGCCATCTAGTTTACTCGTAGTTAGGAGGAGACACGAGGTAGATGAATCGGACGGAGATGGAAATAAGATTGTTTGATTTCCAAAGGTATGGTGGCCCTTGAGCCGGATGATCATATCTTGAAATGGATAGAAAATTATTGCGTACTATGGTCCAGAGAACGTTATGACTTTTTTTGTGTCAATGACATGACAAACACGTGAGTACGTGACGGAAAATGTTGCATTCCTAAAAGAGATATACGTACTACTATTATTGACATCCTCCTTAGGAAAACAATAATGACATTCTCCCTAAAAAGGATGACACCTCATCCTTGAGGACCTCCAATCCCGATCGGGCGGTACGTTGGGAGGATGTAAATTAGACTATAATCCCAATCTGACAGATAGAGAGTGGGGCTCTGTCCTCGTTACTTGCAGAGGCTCTATGCATTTTTAGCATAGTAACCCCTCATCGCAGTTGCCGGGATTCGAATCACGAACTTAACCTTTGTGGCACTCCCTTGCTACCAGTTGAGCTACGCCCACCGGTATAATGACATTTTCCCTTTGTCCAAAGTGTGTCATTTTTACATTTTGATATCTTCCATTAATAGTATCCCATATTAAAATTCTTTGGGTATGTTTGTTTCAAGGAATGTCAGATTACCATGAGAATGTCAAATTGTTGGGTATGTTATATTGATAAGAATGTATTCAATTGATTCCCATTTGTATTTGGTTAACATCAAGGGAATGCATCATAATTTATTTGGTTGAAAGATATCTTATATTGCATATATAATGAATTACTTTTATGCCATTTAAATTTATAACTTTTATAACATAAATACCTTAAAAATTTAAATGTTAAGGAAAAAAAATATGAAACTAACAAGAATAGACATTCAAATATAATTAATACTCTGCCCGTCCCACCTAAAAGGTTATTAAATGTTCGATTGACCATGAAGCTAACCGATCTCTATCAATAATAAGATAATTTTTATTAAATAAAATTTACATATTTAGATACTACATTAAAAGTTTTATAAAGTCACAAAAAATCAAATTTGATATCAGTTGAATATATAAAGAAATTAAATGAAAAGGGATAATTAATTGAAGGTATTTTCGTAAGAAAATTAGATCACCCTAGGAACATTTCCCTCCATATAACATTCCCGGAAATGTAACTTTCCCGATTTTTCTTTAAACCCGTGAACCGAATAAGGGTATCTAACATTCCGTGCATCACAATCCGGCCTTCATGTGAGATTACCCTCAACCAAACGGGCCCTTAATGTTTGGATGGTGGTAACTCATTTTTATTCTATCGTTAGTTTAAGATTCAATATCAATCACAAAACTTATTTTTTTAATATCTAAATGGACTCGGACCTCCGGTGTCACAATTATTGGCCCTGTACAACGACCCACGCGCGCTCATCTGATATCATTTATATTATTGTACGAAGTATGTTTTATTATCCATTATATTGTTAGATTAGCTTTTTCGTAATTGGGCCAATTGAGCTCATATTAGCTGATCATCCCGCTATTTCTCTATATATACTCTCTTGTAACCCGAACATTCGCTCATTATTCATCATCTTACTCCTCTCTAGCTCTTACATCTCCTAAACAATACAGAGCGTCTTTGGGTTCCTATAATACATCTATAAGACTAACCGCACCAGTGATGTACCAAATGTTAGTACGAAACTAGGCTTAGTTTGTTTAAACATACAAAAATATACGGAGTAATACATAATTCAATTTCTCTTTGTAATAAATATCCAAACATTTGGAAAATGAATAATCTAACCAAGTGCATGTGAAGAACTTGAGTTAATTGACAACTATACTCCATAGAATATATGCATGAAATCTTAGTAATACGTTCTAAATTTCGTATCTATTACTACGTAACCAAGCATTTCAGCCCATAACAGCTGGTTGTGATGTTATCGTGCCTTGTGGGAGGTCTCGAGTTTGAAACTCGCTAGACACATAAGAGTTTGAAACTCAATGGAGTGAGATTCAACCCTTATTACTCCAGGACCCCCAGACCCCCCTGAAGAAAAAAAAAAAAGAAGTAGACGTTGTGTCATCTCATCGCGTAAAAAGTTTGGACAACTTGATAAGGTGTATAATTGATTAATTGTACTACTACCTTCGTACCAAAAAACTTTATCATTTTCAAAACTTTGACCGACTATATCTTTTAATTGAAAATTATTCAAAATATAAAAATTATATGAAAATGTTCTTTGTTAAAAGTATTTACACAAAAGTATAAAATTTATAATTTCCATAACATTATACTAATCAAAATCAATATTCAATTTTTTTAAAATAACAAAGTTTTTTGGGACGGAGGTAATACTGTAATAAATGAATCAAAGTAACCAACACCAAAGTATTGGCGGTAACATAGTACCAAATTAAAAGAAGATACTCCCTCCGGTCCCTATTAAAGTTCTCACTTTCCTTTTTGGGATGTCCCTTATTTAAGTTCACACTTCCATTGTATAAAACAAAACAGTGTAAAACAGTGCCAAACAGTGTCCAAACAGTGCCAAACAGTGTCCAAACAGTGCACTCTACAGTAAAGTCAAATTTATTTTCTTAATCTGTGTGAAGTCAAACTGATAACTTTAATAGAGGCCGGAGGGGTATTAAATGAAAAAGACTGCCTCAAGTACTAATACTCGATTATTAATACTCAACCACTACTTTACCATGTCAACTAATACTCGAACCACATAATCAAACTACTTTGCTACACTTTTACTTTAAAGTGCATTTTTTCATTTGTTATATTCTCTTTTTAGTAGGTTTTATTAAGCACTCAATTATTATTACATTTATTTTTATTTTTTATATTCTTTTTGTACTTGTTGTTGGGTGTGTTTCGGAATAAACGATGAAATATTAATTAAATCAAATTAATTAATAAACAAAATAGTTAAAAGAAAACAGAAAATAAGATGGAGCAGATTTTAGCCAGAGCTCGTGCTACGCACGATGTCCTTAAAACGTATTCGTCGCCTCCCACGGTGCTAGGAGCGTTGCAACGACCGTTTCCCAGGATACGGTGGCTAACGAACGATCATTTGAGCACACAAACGAAAGTTCCGGCGAACTGGAACACAGTGAAAACACTTAGGAAATTCGGGATTTGATCGGCACCCCCCCCCCCCCCCTGCGCGTAAGAGAGAGCCTTTACCCTTAGGAATCTTAACTCCTTAAAAGAGGCTTCCCTTTATAAGGGGGTGAAAATCCCTTGAGTTTTTCGGTGTGGGATAAAACACACTAGAAACTCATCATTTTCTCAGTTTTTCCATTTCAACGAGTGAACTTCGAGAATCAATTTCTCATTCACCCGTTATCCGTTTTGAGTGTACCACATATCGAACTGTAGCCCTTAACAAGGACAATCCGAAACCACTTTGACCCGACCCAAATCGGAAGTGGACCCCACTCAAATAATTGCCCCCAAAATGACCATTTAATGCAATTTTTAACACATTTTTCCAACAATCCCCCACATGAATGAAAATTGATTTTCAAGACTTAAAAAGACACGAAGATAGGAGGACACGTTGTGTTCACCGGATGATCCTTGCATACGGAGAGGTAGGTTTTATCCTCTGAACCTTCTGTTGTAAAGACACATTTATTTACTGGCTGTCTAGTAGACTCGATGTCCTTGAACTATACTGCCGTCGTGTAAACATTGACTTATCTTTACACAAGAACCTTCCAACTTTGTTCCATTCTCATGGGTGTGCCCGTTTTGGCCATGGGTCACCGTCCTGGTTCTGCAAGAGTTTCTAAAGAACTGAGCCTTTACAGTTCTCCTTTGAAGCGGCCCTCTTCTCTCTCACATAGGTGATTCTTTCACGAGTATCCCGCATACTCTTCCAATGTTATCGAGTAGATCAACATTTAATGCAATTTTTAACACATTTTTCCAACACTTGTCAATCTCATATTCTATTTTTTACGCCATTTACTATCCCTATTATTTTTCCTTAAATATTGTATCAAACTCTATTGTAGCAAACAGTAAAATAGAGTATTATATTAGACTTGCTATTATTAAAGTTGTATTGTTTTATCATTATCGAGATGTATTTTTGTTTTGTGAGACTAATGACATTATTATTATTTTTGATCATAAAAGATCGGCTATTATATTAAAATTGAGAACACATACAAGACAACCTCCAAACAGAATTTACAGATCCAATTGTGAATCCAAAGAGTAGACTTAGAGTAAGCCACCTCATTCAAAGCAACATGACTCACTAAACCTGAAATGAGCAAATTTAGGCCTAAAACAACTGAAAGTGAAACCTTGCCTATCAAAAGAATTCCAAAAATTCAAACATTCAAACCAAATCTACTCGGACTAAAACAGAAACAAGTGATACTAAAGAGAAAATAATACTGAAATAAAATCTTTCCACAAATCTCTTCCTGGTATGGAGGTGGTTCCGGAGGAGGATGAGCTCTTACAATATGGGTGAATACCAACTCCACCACCGTCGGAATGTCCGTCCAAGACTTCACGATCCCGCCGCGGTACAACCTCTCAGCCGCGCCTCACCCATCCGCCAACGCTATCTCCTACGACGTAGTTGCAATCACAAATGTTAGAACACTGAAAATCAGTATAATATGCTGCTCCAACCACATATTGATAGGGGCGGCGGCAAATCTCAACCCCTTTAAAGAGGGAAGACGGCCACTAGGGTTCCTCTCTCTCTCTCTCACTCACATTATTATTAATATAGTAGATACAATGAATGTTTTTGTTCCGTAATACGAATAGTTTAATAAAAGCTAGGTTCGTTAACACTCATACATAAGGCTTTTCTCTTAGACATAGTTGCCAATGTAGACGATTATCATATAAGAGATACTACCTCGTCTCCATAATATTGAGACAAGAGAGTCCCTCTAGCATTGAGAGAAAAGAAAATGGTGTGATTATTTAGAAAAGTAGAATTATGTGATGAATATGAAACTAGTATCCCATCCATGCATTTGCATGCATGAGATGTAATTTGTAAATATTATGAATATAAATATTCACATATAGTACATATTGTTATAACTTAAAATATAAGTTATTACACAAATATTCCTTTCAGTCGCCCTTAATAAATAGAAATTTTCAAAGTACACAGAATCGACCATCACGTGAGGGGAAGAAATATCGAAAAGATTGAACGCCACCATTTAGTAGTGATTCGGGGGAAGAGACCTTAACGACCAGGGGCGGAGGACCGGATGTGGAGGGGTGGCCAACCGGGCTACGGCCCAGCCCAAATTTTAAAATTGCTTATATTTTTAATATAAAAATTTATGTGTAAAAATTTATGTGTAAAAATTCTTTGTACCGGTCCGACCCAACTCTTACTCTTAGCTATGCCCATGTTAACGACAACCAAAGAAGTGCGCGCATTTCCTGATCTTTTAAGCCCTTGAACTCACCTTCATTCAACAAAGAAACTGAATGCATGAACTCTCCTCGGGATTGGACTCTTTGTGACAGCCCTTTTGCCAGCGTAGCGCATTGATGGGCGCATGGAATTGAGGAATCAAAAAGATAGAAGACGCCCTTGTTAGTGAGAGAGTAGTGTCATTATTAAGAAAAGTAGAATTATGTGATTAATATGAAATTGATAAAATATGAATAAAGTAAAAATGAGTTGTAATCGATCGAATATTATCAAATATGGCATGAGACAATTTTATAGGGACGTACGAAAAAAATGTAAAACTGGACAAAGATAGGGGACGGAGAGAGTAATAAAGAAATGCTACTTTGTTCGAGGACTCTAAGAGCTGTGTTAGCTGAGAAATAAAACACATGAGAAATGCCACATTGTTAATTTGTTTTAGTACACTCACAAGGGCCCGTTCAATTTGTGACACCTGAGTTGCTCAACTCTCGATCTGTTAATCAATCGATTGGCATTTAAAAACAAATTTTATTGCAACATATTCATGAAATGTTATTGGTGTTGAAAGATCATACAATGTAGGGTACTTCAAACAAACTCAGCAACAGAACCAAAACAATGTACAATTTTATTTCATTCTTATTTCACAGTTCCAAAGTAACCATTGAAACTGAGCTGAGCTGATTATCATCCAATTTGGTCATTTGTAAAGTTCCATGATCCAAGTATTGACAGCGCAACAAACCTTGCGAAACTCTCTAAAACCAGCACCCTTAGCGAGGTCCTTAAATTCCTTCTCGGTTCTTTCTTTCCCGCCCGGATTAAAAGCCATCATGAACACATCACCGTGGACCACATTTTTCGTCGCCAGAGAGGTGTCCGGTGCTTCTGGTAAAATGCCCTCTGCAAGGATCAGCTTTCCAGTTCTCGGAAGCGCTTCGTAGCATTTCTTCAAAAGCTTCAAACAGTGGTTGTCGCTCCAATCGTGACAAATCCACTATCGGAGCCAGTGGCGTAGTCATAAACATTATTAGGATGAGCCGGTACAAAAAAATCTAATAATTTTTTACATATACTCCATTTGGACTGAAATTTGCTGATCTGGTCTGGTCTGATAAACATCTGGTCTCTGTGTATTTTATAATTGTCCAAGTCTGATCTAGTTTGATCTGGTCTGATCTGTTAAAGTCTGATTTGGTCTGATCTTTTTAAATTTTCTCTTATCCGGTTTGGGACTGAAAATAGTCCAAAAGAAAACATCCGAAACTACCCCATTGACCTGAGCATAGAAAGCGCATTAATCAATGACACATGCTTCACAAACTTATAAGCTAATTGTAGGTTTATACAATTAGTGGTACATTACATGACTCAACTTTAAACACATTTGTATGTTCTCCCTATTATTGCTACCATTTTTGGAAAATCGACTAAAGTTCATCGAATTGCCTAGTTGTCCTTTGATTGATTATACTTCGAATATAATAGAGATAAAAGTTTTATGACACTAGTTCCCATTAAACAAGTGAAGAGATACTAATAATGCTTATTCCATTGATAAGCCATTTATAACTACCAATATTGAGTTTGGGATACTAAAATTGGAGAAATTTATAAGAGATTTGGGAATTTATAAACTAATATTGAAGAAATTTATAAGAGATTTGGAAGACAAAATTAATTGGTCATATCCTATTATAAGAGAAATGTTACCTTCATGAAAATGGCATCTCCCTTGGGCACGGACGCGAACATGTCCCCACCGACTTGCTCAATCCCTGCAAAAGTTGTAATGTAACATTTTGACAATCAAATAAAAAATTGAAATGTAACATTTCAACAAAAGGTTTGAGTTGATAATACTATATCAAATTGAAATGTAACATTTCAAACTAAAAACGCTAGTAGTAATTAAGTGAGTAGTGTACTAGGATGAGGAAGAGCATGTTGAATAACATGAGGCAAGTCGAAGTTAATGCCCTTGATGTCGGGATACTTGGAAACAATCATGTTAAGGGTGCTGCCCGTCCCGCCACCGACATCCACCAAGGATTTGAGGCCTTCGAATCCCTTGTAATCTTCTAGGATTTTTCTTAAAACAATGCTAGAGTGACTCGACATTCCATTGTTGAAAACTGTGTTAAATCTTGGGTCTGTTCTTGGATATTCAAATGCACTCATTCCATACGCCTTGTTGAAGGGTATATCGCCTTCAAGAACCGCTTCTTTTAGGTGATACCTTAAATTTATTTGTGAACTAATCATTAGCAAGCTAATTATAAAAGGAATAGTCCAAATTGGCACGTAAATTTGTCACATAATAATATACTCTCTTTGTTCTTAAAAAAATGCAACGGGTCGCGTTTCATGTTTATTGATTTACATTAATATATAGTAGCATGATTTTCTATAAGTAAAAAATAAAAAATAAAAATCAGATTTTGAAAATTTATAATGAGACAAATTTAACAACACTCATTTTTTTTAAATTATTTATAAATACATAGGAAAAGGAGCAAATAAGACCTCGAACTAACCGAAAAAGTGCAAATCACCCTTTTTATAATCAGATTTTGACAATACCATCATTTTTGATGGTTTTTTTTGAACATCTTCTTCATTAAGTCTAGTTTACTCATATCAAATTTCAGGTAAAAATTCAACCAGGAAGACAGTCAAATGATTTCCTGAAATATACTGCGTTGTTTAACTGCGCAGTTATTTTCAAACATTTATTTGACTAGGATAAATGCAACAGTTCGCGTTTCATGTTTATTCAGGTATGATTTTCTATAAGTAAAACATAAAAAATAAAAATCTGATTTTGAAAATTTATAATGAGACAAATTTAACAACACTTTCTTTTTAAAATTTATTTATAAATACATTAATAAATAAATCTTAATCAAAGTAGATCAAATAAATAGATCAAGAGTAAAATTCAAGATACTGCAGTTATTTAATAATAGGAGGAAATATATAAATATATACCAGCTTTTCATGAGGACATTGTCCTGATTCAAGAGCAAGAGGGGCGCCATGGAAACGCCGTCGGAGTTCTTGGTCAAATACTTGCAGACCGGCGCCAAGATATAGAGCCGCTCAACCCGGCCGTCGTCAGGGATGGTCCGGAGAGAGCAGTTCAGGACAGAGTAGGTGCACAGCAGCCGGAGAATGCGGTCCAGCATGACGGCTGCGTCCGGGTTAGTTGTCGGGAGCTGAGCGGCAAGGTCGGAAGGGGAGACAGCTGCTCCCGGTCCGGCTTTAGCCATCAGCTCGAGAAGGTCCAGCTCTATCGCTGACTTCAGCACCATGGGAAGCACTGAAGCGCTGGCTAGCTGCATTGCGAATAAGCTGGCGGCTTCGTCTTCGTCCGACTCGACTCGGCTCCTCACATGGCTCTCATTTTCGGTCGAATCCATGACTTTTTCGTTGAATTTTATTACAATTTGAACCCCGTGTGATATAGCTGCCTCGTCCACTACTTGTACCATGTCAACTAATACTCGAACCACATAATCAAACTACTTTGCTACACTTTGTACTTTAAAGTGCATTTTTTCATTTGTTACCTTTTCCCTTTTCAGTAGGTTTTATTAAGTACTCAATTATTATTATTTATTTATTTTTTTATATTTCTTTTCATACTTTTCCTATCTCATCTTCTGTTTTTTTACACCATTTACTATCCCTATTATTTTTTCTTAAATATTTTATCAAATTCTATTCTAGCAAACAATAAAATAGAGTATTATATTAGACTTGCTATTATTAAAGTTATATTGTTTTACCATTATCGAGATTTATTTTTGTTTTGTGAGGCTTTAGTTACATTATTGTTTTAATCGTAAAAGAGAGGACGTTATATTAAAATCGAGAATACATACAAGCAGGGGCGTATCCAGTGTGGAGGCAGGTGGGGTAGCTGTCCCCACTCAACCCTCACCCAACCCTCACCCAACCCTCACCCAACCCTATATACATATATATATCCAATCTAAAGTTATACATACATATTTGTGCTATGTAAAGAGATCTTATATAATACTCTCTCCGTCCCGGTCATTTCTTTCGATTTTGACCGGTATCGCAAATTTAGGTAGTGAGAATAAAGTGAAAATGTATGATTGTAGTTGTGTAAGAAAAATGTGAATAAATGTTGTAGTGGTATTGGTCCACCTCCACTGGGCCATCCCTGAGTTGCCTTTGGTCCACCTCATTTAAGGAGTTGGTCTCCTATTTATTGCCCTGGCCCAATTGGGTTGTATACCCGACCAAGCCCATTCCCTTACCCGTTTGTCTTATACCCAGCCCATGCCCGTGTGGCCCTCTCTTATATTGTCTGGTTCTTCTGGAAACCTCCTATTTCAGCCTCTCCACCTTCTCTCTATCCGATGTCTCTCCCGTTCAGTTACCCTAGACCTAGAGTGAGAGAGTGCCGGTTTCCTCTGAGCTTTAGCTCCGGCTTTGCTCCGGTGAGACCTTGGGGTTCTTATTGGGGTCTTCACTCTAGTCTGGTAGTGTGGTGGGTTATTACTGCTCCGGTGGGACTTCTGGGTTGGGTTCTGGGTTCTGAGTGTGAGGGTTAGTTGGCTGTCGCCCAGGGCCGGTCCTGACAATTTATGGGCCCGGGGCAAAAGATAAAAAATAGGCCCCTAATTTTATATGTTGCAAAAATGTAATACAAATTTCATTGTCAACCATAAAATTCGTTACACAGTAAATATTCAGGTCACAGAACTACATAGTATCATAAAACATACTCATACAAAACAATTTCTTCGGGCATTCTTAGAAGCAAAATCCTCAATAATACTATCAAGGTTAACATTATCTAGCATGCCCTTCTCAATACATAAAATCGCCAAGCCGTTCAACCTTTCTTGTGACATTGATGATCTCAAGTAAGTCTTCAATAGTTTCAACTTTGAAAAACTCCTCTCAGCTGATGCGACTGTCACCGGAGCGGTCAACAAAATTCGGTAAGCAATTGAGACATTCGGATAGCAATCCACAGCTTTGACAAACTCTAGAATTTCAATTGCTGACATTGATACATTAGGCAAAGTGACCTGCAAGACTTTTAATTCTGAAAACAAATCATCTAAATCCACATCCACAACATCATTATGAGAGAATGTATTGACAAAATTAACACAACAATTTTTAAGCTCAATGGCATCCAGTGACTTCAACTTCACAGAAGTGTACAGAAATCCAAAAATACTTTCAAACAATTTTAATTGTTCAAATCTATTATTTAATGAAGCAATAGCCATATCAACAATAAACAAAAAGTAATTCACCCTAAAAGATCCTTCTTGAGACAGTAAGAAATCTTCACTATCTCCTTCATCAAACTGTTTTTTCCTAATAATACGTCTTTTAGTCACAAATGTAGGCTCCACATCCATTTCACATGCAATGGTTTTGACAATATTGATACTCTCTGCAAAACCTTCAACTCTATATTTCTCAAAAAAATGCACCATACTTTCAACTTGATTCATTGTTGCATCAATGCACATAGATTTAAACTGTAACTTTTTGCTAACTGTATTAATCGCAAATAAAACATCATACCAAATAACCATACCAAGTAAAAATTCAAAATTTTCAAAAGCACTTACCAAACTTTCAGCTTCACTTTTTGTCTTCGCATCATCGCAAGATTGAGATAACTCAAACATAGCCAATCTAATTTGAGGAACTTGGAATCTAATAGCTTTAACGCTTTTTATTCGACTCTCCCAACGTGTATTAGATAAAGATTTAACAGTCAAACTTGGGACAACATCAAGTAAAATTTTCCATCTTTTTGGAGAACTAGAAAATAATGTATATATGCGTTGAACAACCCCAAAAAATGAAACAGCTTTAACACAAGAATGAGCCATATCACTAAGGGTAAGATTAAGACTATGACACACACAAGGCATATATAAAGCTCTAGGATTTATTTCAAGCAATCGGTTTTGGACTCCTTGATGTTTTCCTTTCATGTTTGAACCATTGTCATAACCTTGACCCCTCACATCATCGACATTAAGATCAAGAGTCTTAAGAGCATTCAGCAACTCATTAAAAAGTCCTAAACCAGATGTGTCTTCTACCTTTAAGAATTCCAAAAAGTATTCTTCAATTTTTATTTTAGTACCGGTCATATCCACACATCGTATTATTAAGCTCATTTGTTCTTGATGGCTCACATCCGGGGTACAATCAAGAATCACAGAAAAATATTTAGCCTCTTTAACAACTCCAATGATGGATTCTTTAACACTATCAGCCAAAAGAGAAATTAACTCATTTTGAATTCTTTTACCTAGATAATGGTAATGGATCTCATGACTTTGAATGCGTCTAATATGATCTTGCATTATCACATCAAATTCTGCTATCATTTCAATCAATCCTAAAAAATTACCATTATTATCGAAATAAAGTTTCTCATTAGTGCCCCTAAAAGGCAAACAATATTTAGCTAGACATTTCACAACAACAATTATTCGTATTAAAACATTTCTCCAACGTTCTTTTTCTTTTAAAATCTGTTGTTGTAAATCATTATCGATGGCCTGATTTGTATTTAATCGTATAATCAGTTCATTCCAAGATGTCATATGACTCATATGCTCAACACTATTCTCATGCTCTTTTAATCTCGCACCAAGATGCTTCCAATCTTTATAACCATCAGTAGCTAATGCATTTTTGTTTTGTTTAGACCTAAACAACTTGCAACAAAAACAAAATACTTTATCCACTTGTTTAGAATAAATCAACCATTTACGGTCTTTACTTTCACCATTACTTAACTTTCTAGTATAATAACTATACCCAAAATGTCTAGATGTTTGGTCTAAAGGAAATTCCAAATTTAGTTCTCTAATTGGTCCTTTCTCAACCAAAATGTCCCTCAATTCACTATCAACATTATCCCAGTTTGCGGGATCATAAATATCCAAAATGGGAGCTTGATTTTGATCATCATCATTTAAAGATTGATCATTATCAATGTCCTCATTATTCAAATTTTGATCAGATATGTTTTGCAAATTAGCAATCACAACTTCATTTTGTTCACCAACATTATCAAAGTTTTGTTCACTTGAACTGTCCAAATTATCATTGGAGGAACTGCCTACTTTAACAAATCTATCCATAGCTCCTTTTTGAGAATTCATGAACTCATCTGCTAACTTTCTTTTTTTTCTTTTTGCACTGCCAGATAAATATTTCTTAGGGGGCATTTTATACAATATTATAAGAAAATGACAGAGATAACCTGAAAAATATGAGGGAACCGCAGATATAAATCTTTAAATATGTAATCCCCTACAAAAAGAAAAAAACATTCATCAAACACATGAAATTCGTAATTAAAAAGCAAGAATGCAAAAAAAGAATCGGCCAAGCTTGTGGAAAGATATAAATTTGACACTTGTATCCTTAAAATTATAAAAAACATTCTAATTAATATGCTAACTAATTACAATTTATAAATTAAACCAGTCCATTTACATAATTAGTAAATACCTGGAGTGCCGACGATGCTGCTCGTTCTCGTCTCTCACTCTGACAGGTGAAGATTGAATCGTTTGAGAATTGAGAGGCCTAGAAAGGATTGGATGATTGAGAATTTCAAATTTGAGAGCAGAGAACAAAGAAGCCTGAAGCGATTAACGGATTAAGAGAAGTGATTAAGAGAAGTGTGTAGTTAACTATAAAAAAACCGGAGATTTTAATATGATTTGTACCGAGGAAGCGGAAGGATCGAGTATTCGACGCTTGGGAACTGATTCTTGAATTGGGAATTCGAGATTGGTATTAATTTCTAGTTTTGGATTTGTGTGAGGAAGATTGAGAGTCGATCTGCTTCTACTTCTGGCGTGCGGCTCTGCTAAATCTAGGGAATGAGGGATTTTTTTTATCTTATACGTATGGAGGAGTATTAGTATTGACATACGGAGTAATTTTAATTTGGACTTTGGACATTTAACATTTAGTATTTTATATATATATATATATTATATTATATACTACTATAAAATTTATGGGCCCTCTTGTCCTGGTGGGCCCTGGGCAGCGGCCCAGGCTGCCCCTATACCAGGGCCGGCCCTGCTGTCGCCCTTTCGACTTCCCTGGTTGTATCCCTGGTGGTGAGTGTGAGCAAGCCTTTGGGCTTTGTGGTGATTGAGGTCTGAGCCGGTCCGGTTTTCTAACAGTGGTATCAGAGCCTGGACGTTGCTGTCTCTCTCGGACATCGAAAGCTCACCGGAGAACTCCCACACCGGTAACGTCTGGAGACTCCATCGGAGAAGGTAAGTCAGGTTGTCTCTCAGTGACACCCGCTCAGGTATAACACTTAAACCCTAATCCTTGGGCTGCCGGAGTGCCACCGGCTTCTGTGATGCATGGGTGTTCTGAAACCCTAGGTTGAGGAACTACCGATTAGAAACCCTAGTTTCTTAACCATTGCATGTGTAGATTTTGTTTAGACAAGATCTGC